AGTTCTATGAAACTGAATATTTTCAACCTCGGCTTGCCTCACTTGCAATAGGGTATTTGACAGTTTTTAAAATAAAGTGCTAATTGTTAGCATCTGTATTTAGAATGAATATTGGCAGGGAGTTTACTATCACGTCTGCGGGGTCCCCGCAATACCTCGGGAGACCCCTGCTGTGGAGCCCCGGCGACGCCGGGAAGCTGCTGGGTCGTGGTAGAATCCCTAACGGGGACCCCGCGGCTTCGCATTAAGCAGTGTAGAAGGTATTCGCAGTCAAGACCGTTTTTCTCAGGAACGCGTGGAGGTATCAAACTGAAATTCATATCTAATACTCAGGTCTACTATCCCATAGAGCTGTGAAAAAAATCAAACTTCTAAGCGAAAGCAATCAGAAGATACAGCCGTATATGCCGCAAATTTTCGAAACTCGTACGGAAATCAAAGCCTACAGGGTGCTTCCCGTGAACTTAGAATCTTGGAATTTGGTACGAAGTAACGTCTTATAGTACAGATAAAGGGAAAATTGCGAAAACCGTAAGTAAATATTTAGTTACCTACATCATATAATATATTTTTAATAATTATTAAAATATACCTACAGGTTTGTATGGACCCTCAGTGCGCGAGTCCGACTCGCACTTGGCCGGTTTTTTATGTTAAATGGGTGGCAAACAAGCTTATGGCCCACCTGGTGGCAAGCGGCCACCATAACCTATAGACGCTTGCGATACAAAGATCAATCGCGCCGTTGTCTACCCTGACCCCATACCCTACCCCGTGGAGCCCTGAAACCACCGACAGAAACACAACACCATCAAATAGTAGTGTTATTTTACTGTGGTCTTCTATAATAAATGTTTGCGTTTGTTGTCTTGCGTTGAGTCTAGTTAAACAATCATGCTATAACTCGTGACTGTCTTTCGACAACGAGTGGGCGCCGAACGTCGGCGTCGAGGCAAGGAGAACGAGGAGGCTGGGTAGTTTAAATGATCGATGGCCTTAAGTCATCGACAGTGTTCAAATAATAACATTACTGTTTCCAGAATCAACTGCAATATGATGTGGTATTGACAGGAAATGTCGATGAAATTGAATCACACCGCTCCTTTACTAATACTTATAAATACACTAATTTCGAAGAATAGTGAATAAGGGTTTTTCAGGATACTTGTTTTTTTCCGATAATAGTCAAACAAATTGCTATAAACTAATATATGTAAAAGTACAATTGTTAACATAACACAATCCCCAGGAATTCCCTTTGAAACCAATAACGAATTTAACAAACTTAGTTACGTTTGTATTTGAAGGTGGTGATGAACTATGTCTCTCATGAGGGCATGTTAAGACACATATTTCTGTCCTCTGTGACCCGTCTCCGGATGCTGCGGCTGATACAGGCACTACATCATTCCCGCAACTCTCTCTTATCAAGTCGGAGTTCTCTGGTCGCAAACATTTCCTCAATGACGAGCTTGATCTTCTCCTAGTCTCGTCTGTTGAAGACACACCAGCTCCCTGATTACTTTTGCAACATGGCTTGGACACATCTGCAGACATGTCATAACGATGCTTCGTTTAATGTTTCAAGGACCACATGGTTTGTATTGATTTATTAACCAAATATCGTTTAGGCATTTTAAATTGGAATAGAGAGTTTATTCTTTTATGCACATTTATTCGTGATGTTTTCATTCTATGCTCCACAAGTTTCAAGCATCGGCGCTCGGCTGCGCGTCAGCTGTAGTAGATATGGTTTTTTAATCCATTTAAAAATATTTAAGCACTTTCAACTTGCACAAAAACACCTTAATTTTTTACAGCAGCACAATTAAAATATCACAGTAATTTTTCTACTTGTTGCATTTTTTGTGTGAATTTGACAAATGATAGCAGGGTGACATAAAGTACAGATCCCGTATGTTGATCTATGAGACAAGAACATGAAATGAATTGTGTAAAAAGGTTTGCTTCAAATCTTTATTAACCCACTGTTCAAAATGCTATAAACAGATACATAATAACACAATAAAGCAACTTTGTAATAATAGCTTTTAATATAATTTAAGTACTCATTCAGGAAAACCAGAATGGTATTTTATAGTGTCACACATCCAGTATGGAGGTATGACACTATAAAAATGTCAGTTTTTTGAATACAATCTACTAATGTAATGTATTGCAGGCAAGGCTGTACGAAGGGGTACAATATGTATAAAAATTATTCGAGCGCGTTAGACATTATGCTACCGCGGCCCTGATGGGCGTTTGGAATTTTCTCTAGCATATTTTAGGCTGCAAGACAGCGCCATTTCATCGCATTGTAGATTGCCCACAATGTCAAATGAATGTCTTTACAAGTATTAAACATTTTAAAGAAGAAATAGCAATTATAGTTATATTTCTATAACTCCTTTGCTCTATGATCGGCGAGTCACGTGACGATGACGTAATTTTCCGCCACTCTCGTTCACCAGGTCGAGCCTTGCAGAAATTTGCACTCATTGGCGTCCTATTTTCGGAGCAGTAAACATATTAAGAAAAACGTTACAAATGTTCGTAGTCAAATTATATAAAACGAGTTAACAGTCGCAATGTTGGATAAAGTAGGCATTGAATCTGAAACATCATCGGAATCGTCGTCTTCCTCTGAATCTTCGAAATCATCGGAGGTGGAGCACTCTCGCAAGAGAAAGAGAAGTAGCAAGTAGAGGAGGAATAAATCTTCAGCCTACTTGTCTATGGAGATGTATTAGCATAAACGGAATATGCTAGACTCATAATTATGTTTACATGACCCAGAATAAGGCCGTAGGGCACAATATAAAATATTAACTGAAAAAACTTTTAGTTTGCGTAAATGATGCATATTGCTTAGATTCTTTTGATGAGAATATTTAAATTGTTAATAATTAAGGTAACTGATACAAATAAGGCCTATGCTGAAATAAGGCCTGCAGTGCAGAAAAGTCTATTAAAATATGTTTACATCAAAAATACATATTTTTATATAATTTATACGCTAAAAACAATATTCTCAAATTTAAGTACATAGGCTTTGTTAAGCACTATGTTTTTAAAAGGCCTAAGGCTAAGGTTCCAGAATAAGCTCTTTTTAAGTGATTTCTGATAATAGATTGTAATATGTTTTCTTAATTACTTAAAATTTATGAACCAACGAATAATGCCTTGCTTTTATTTATCACCTTCTTCGAATAATTTATCATGATATGAGTGATTGAAATTAGGTAGGCCTTATTTGTATCGCTCACCTTATAAATATAAAATATTATTTGAGATTAGGAGAACTCTAATGACATACCTACTTAGATATAGAAACCAGATCCTGGAGATGCTAATTATTAAAAGACATTGGCATTACTTTATTTTAGATTATTGTATTTATTTACATATTTTGTTATATTAATGTACTTTCTTATAAGGAGTTTGCCAAAAGGAAATTAAACTGAACGAAGAATGTTTTTTTCAGGTAATTAAGTCTACTTAGATATCAATATCTACTTATAATCTTAAAACTTGTATTGGAGCAAGTGCTAATTTAAATAATTGTACCCTGAAAGACTTCCGCCACATTTCGAATACATTAGAAACGTTTAAGGCAAAATAAAAGCAACTTAACTTACCATAACGAGACTACAAAATGTTAAACTATAAAAGTGATACTTTTTTCATGTTATTTAACTAGATATAAAAAGTGAAAGAATCAATAAAATAATGAAAAAAGATTATAAAAAGCAATTGTATTAAAGAAAAACTGACTAACAAAGTGTATTCTTGAACGACGGCCATGACATCTCGACCATCTAGAAATTTCACGGTATACCAATAACAACTGCGCTATAACGAGCCTCTTATAGTATAAACTAGCAAACCAGTGAACCAAATGTTCACCAAAACCTGATTTCTCGAAAACCGGAAGTGCTACGTTACTCAAATCCGGTTTGTAGTCTTATTCTTAACTTATAACTTAAATATTCTCTTTATCCATCTCTTACGGTTTGGCCGCTGAAACAGCACCACAGACAGACGGACTTGTCTAATAGATAAGAGATTATTATGATATTGGATCGTAAAATCACAGAAAACCGTGTATATACGGAACTTTTGTAAGTATTGTCAACTACACATTCAACCTCCTCCTAATATTTACTGTGTTAATTTTTTACAGGTGTACCTAAGTATTATTATTTAGGCATTGTTAAAATAAAAATCAAAATTTTAGACACTTAGGTAAATTTTATTAGTCTAATGACAAATTACTAAAAAATACATAATCTAAACAATTATTACTCTCTATAAATTATACATTTTATAAAAGGACTAAAAAATCAGTCAAAATACTAATATTTTGTTAAAATTACATCATTATCAGAACAAGATTTTTGACATGTATTTGAGATAAGCAGCACGTGTTAGACGAATGTCTAATTTCTCTACTTGGTTAAGTTAATCTAAGCGAATCTTTACTTAATGTCAATATCACAGACTCCTCGTTATAATCATAATACATGCACAATTGTCTACGTCTGATTCTAAATCTATACATATGTAATAATAACTTTTATGTGCACTACTAGACAAGCTGTGCACTTTACTACAAGTCTGGCTGTCTGATAAAATGGTACTAACAGGATAAGAAAAACATTCTAAAACTTACGAGTTCAGCAAGGAGAAATAGAAAATGAATTTTAATAGGCAATAGTTTTGTACATTGAGTTTTCTCGGTTTTTTAGTTATCTTTGAGAAATTAAAAAAAGATTATACTTTCAGAATCAAACCGGAAAAGGCAAAGACCTTTTAGTGGCCACCAGTCGTCTACTAGTATACATAAAAGTCAAAGTAAAATACTCTAAAATCCGGTAGGTAAAAATATATCAAATTATACTATTATATTAAAGCTGCCTACGTTACAATGGCGGAATTGTGGGAAACGAAAACAAGCTAATAAAGAAGACGACCTTCTCATTGAGTTAAAAAAAGTTTTAGTCGTGCATATTGTCTAATATCCAATCCATGTAGTAGGCTATTCTAGTGTATACTCCTGGGAGGCCGCCTAAGCCGCAGCGCTTAGACCCGTAGGACACAATGCCCCTCTGGACATACCGCGACCCCTTGGTCCCGACGTTTCCTGGATACATCAGGGGCCCACCGGAATCTCCTCCGCAGGAATCCTTGTCCGGGACTCCCCCCGCGCATATTTGTCGATCGTGAATGCGAGGGTTGCTAAAATAAACATAAAGGAAATAGGGGAAATTATTCACATACATCATGGGTTACCTAAGAAATATGGATATCCCACACAAGCACACGTACATTAAGATACCAAATCCAATCCGTTCCAGGCCCAATCTTCCCCTATCCCATTTGCAGGCAAGGCTTATTTCTCAGCATAAATAGGATGATGATAATATTGGACATAGAATTTACTACCTTCTGCCTTGTTATTTTATTAAAAACTCTGAAATTTAACCGTTAGCGTTCGACCTTATAGAGTGATGCTAATTGAAAAATGAAAAAATGAAAATGGATTTTATTTCCCAAAGAGTCGCTTTACAGTTCAAGTTGAGACAACCCAGAAAGTAATAATTAAGCTAATTGTTTTGAATACTATTCCTACTAATAGAATTAATATGAAAGTTTGTATATTCTTAATGTTTGTTACTCAACCATGCAAAAAATTACTAAACGGATTTGAATGACATTTGGTATGCATATAGTTTATGACCTGGATTGAAAAAATTGTTCAGGTTTTTGTGGGATTCGCAAAAATATAAAGTTAATGCGAATGAAGTGGCGGCGGGTTGCTAGTAAAGTATAATTTCTTCCACTTATTTATTAACTCTGTGTCAAATTCCATACCCGCTGTAAGCGTCCTGGCACTCTTTGTTGCCGACTATCGGCAGATCCACGCTGAGCAAGACTGGCGACTGCAAGCCGTCTTCCGTAGCTCCCCACCCTGCTACGATGCCCGAGCGCCCAACCAAGTCCTCGTTCTGGAGTTTCGGAGTGACAGGAAGGCACACCGCGCTCATGCTCTCTGTTAAAAATACATATTTTTATTTGAGAACCCGTCTGTCTGGTAGTTTTCCTATTTCGTCTAGTTTCGTAATTATAGTTTTGAAAAAAAAAACAAGAGCAGTTACTTGTGAAAGATAGGATAGAGACACTGATATCATCAGATCCAATATCAAATTACATACAAAAGTCGTTTAGATTATCAATTTTTTATGTCATCAATTTTGTGCTGCAAGAATACCAAAAAAAATGCGGTCTTATAAACTGGAGACTTTAAAAAAAATATATCAGAATAAGACGTTAATAACTTGTGCAGACAGTGGTACTTCGTTTAAATATGCTAAGGTTAAATAAAAATACCATGAGATTTATTTATTTGATAAATTTATTTTTAGGCCTAAATTACCCGTTAATTATACCTACTGACTGCATGAAAAGTCTAGGTACGTACCCTAGACTGAATATAACCAATGATTATTATGGCTCTAATGAATACAACGCCGTCTGTTATTAGCTTTGAGGTTTTTTCTCATTTGATTAGAGACATAAAAAAAATCAAAAAACAATTTATCTAATTTAGTTGCATCCAGTACTTACAATCCAACAAGCTTTTCAGAACCTCTTCTAAAAAGATATTATATAAGTAGTCAATTAAATTACATGCCAGCAATTGAAAATATAATTGAGGAGCTGTCGCACAAAACGGTATAATTACGCATCTGTTCAAACTACTTTCTTTTTACAGTCCGGAGGTTTTGGGACCGCTGAATTTGAACTCAACTCATTTTCATTAAATTCCGCTTAAAACAGTGTTAAATCACTAAATATAAACCACGTCAAAAGCTCACTTTAGGTAGGTCATTCAGTTTTTTAATGCTCCTGTAAACTTTAATTTTATGTAATTATACCGTTTTATTCGCCAGCTCCTCATATACAGGGTGGTCCAACTAATGACGTCAAAAATTTTTTTTTAGTTTCTTCGCACGTCGTTCGTATCCGAAAATACCCCATGTATGTTCCGCGATTTTTCTTAGTTTTCGAGTTATATTTTTTTTTGGGTATTTTTAATGATTTCTGCCAGCGAGGTTTAAAAAATTCATATCTTTTTTAGTAGTAGGTATTTTGCAGTCTTGTTTTTGTGACATAATTGTCTTGAATGTTGTTCTAATAAAAAATATAACTCAGCTTTCTGAAATTACTTAAAGTTACTCAAAAAAGGCTTGAAAGTTGGAACTTTAGCTTTAGTAGGATTTACTCAAACATTCAATTTCAATTTAAAAATGCAAAAAGAAGTTTCCATAGCTTCTGGTTAAGTTTCAAAACTCCGCATGCTTTTAAACTACCAAAAATCATAAAAAAATGTACTTAATCAGCCTATTTTTGTTGTAATTGGCCATCGAAGGCAGATAGGCTAAAAATCATTGAAACATGATTAAAGCGTTAAAAAATATTTTATCTGCTTTTTGTCATTGTTATGGTAAATTAAACTTAAAAATGTAATTTCAAATTAAATTTCATTGAAATTGCTGTAAAATAACTTTAGTATGTGTAATTTTACAATAATTTCGGTTCCACCACTAAGATTTAAAACGCGAACAAGAATTAAAACAAAAACTAGCAGAAAGAAAAATAAAGCAAGAATATTCAAGTAACTTCAGGCAATTAAAACATAACTTTATAAAACGTTGTCAATTGTGTATTCAGGTTGGAGGAAGGAGTTTTGAAAATTTACTGTAATAAATAGTAAATTTTCAGCAATTTGTGCTTTTTCATCATCATCAGCCTATTAATGTCCCCAGTGGGGCACAGGCCATCCTTATGGATGGAATAGGGATATTGGGCCATGACCCACCACGGTTGGCGGGTGCTAAGACTGCAGATGCAGTCGAAACCAGCTTAGCGTGCCTTCCGAAGCACGGAGGAACGCGAGATAGAAGATCTTTGGTCATCCATCCAATGACCGACCACTGCAAATGTTGCTTAACTTCAACGATTGCAGCCGAACGCGTTAACCACCCACGCCATCGAGCGCCTTGTGCTTTTTATTTGTATCAAAAAAAAGATAATATTACAACTAGCCATTTTGATCTTTATTCTTGCTCACATTTTAAATCTTAGTGGGGAAACCGAAATTATTATAAAATTCCACATGCTTAAGTTATTTTACAGGAATATTAATTAAATTTAATGTGAAATTACATTTTTAAGTTTAATTTACCTTAACAATGATAAAAAGTAGATAAAATAATTTTTAATGCATTAATCGTGTTTAAATGATTTTTAGCCTATCCGTCTTCAGAGGCCAATTACAACAAAAATAGGCTGCTAAGTACATTTTGTTATGATTTTTGGTAGTTTAGAAGCATGCGGAGTTTTTAAACTTAACCAGAAGCTATGAAAACTCCTTTTTGTATTTTTAAATTGAAGTTGAATGATTGAGCAAATTCTACTAAAAACTAAAGTTCCAACTTTCAAGCCTTTTATGAGTAACTTTAAGTAATTTCAAGAAGCTGTATTATTTTTTTTTATTAAAACGACATTTAAGACAATTATGTCACAAAAAAAAGACTGCATAATACTTACTACGAAAAAAGATATGAATTTTTGAAACCTCGCTGGCAGAAATAATTAAAAATACACAAAAAAAATTATAACTCGAAAACTAACAAAAACCGCGGAACATACATGGGGTATTTTGAATACCCATAGGTGCGAGGAATCTAAAAAAAAATGTTGACGTCACTAGTTGGACCACCCTGTATGTATTTATACTGGGGCTATACAAGTACAAACCCAATGTAAAATCGGCTGGTTCCGACAGTCTTAGGAGCGCGATGTCATCGACTAGAGTTTGAGGGCTATACCCCGTGTGGGCAATCACGGTCTCCACAGTCACGTTCTGTAAACAACCAATAAACAAAACAATTATAAAATACTTACAGAAATAATTTTATTGAATATGTATACATAAAATTATAATATTTTATCGAACATATCATTGAGATATTAGTCAAAGTTATTGAGTCTAAATAACTCTATATAATTATATAATAAACATACTATAATTTTGTAAACCCTTTAAATCCTACTTAAAAAGGAACTAAAACATTAACAATGATATTTTCTAATAAAACTAGTTTTTTTTATTATTTCGTTGATGTCTTTTCTACGATTGATATTTCGTTGTACAGAGCATAAAATCAGAAGCCTATTTTCAAATATTATATCATAACATGATATAATATTCGAAAAAAGGGGTTCAAGGCGATTTGATTAAAGAAATGGAAGTTTATTATATGTAGCTAACTTATAGATTCTTGCGTTATTTTAATTTTTAAAATTACTTGCTTCGTTTTTTTCTATATGTTTAAGAAAAAAATTCACTTGTCTACAGTACCAATGGCACGATTTACTAACTTAAACTAAAATTTGTAGCCGTAGGAAAAGGCTATGACCCGAGGTACACACAGTTCTAAGAAACATTTATCTAAGTAAGCATTAAGGGCCTGATTCAGACTGACGCCGCATCCGTAATCCAAGTACCTGCTAATTTCATGCGGTTATCAAAAGATAGGCACTGCAGCATTGCCGTGAGACACTCTCAAGCTTCTCCCACACTTGCGCGACGAAGCTTTGGTACTACAATGTACTAAAATTAGCGGTCGATATTTTAATTACTGCCATTGTTAGTATGCTACTTCAGCTGTGCAAGATAATGCTTAGAAGGTGGCACCAGCACTAACTTGTTAAGTTGAATTTGTAAAAGATTTTTGACTTTATCGTCTCCTACAACAACTTTTATGCGTGTCAAAAATAACCAGTCAATTCATCGTCTAGCGTCTATACACGCAGCTCGATAAAAAATCATCACGATGAAGCTAAATTCAAATTTCGAACGCTAGCAAGCTTCGTAGCGCAGGCAGGAAGCATAACAGTAAAATTGAGTTATAATGATGCTATTGCCATGTTAAAGGCAGGTTGGCTCGATTCGGTGGTGATGGGTAATTTGCTAACGAACTCACTCTGATGTTAGGGGCGCAGAACTGCTTATCTTCGATACGCTCGCAGTCGGGATCCTTCCTAACGTCGTGTTCCCCGAGCACCACGCCCGTGAACTTGAGCCGCTCGCCCAGGAAGGAGACGCAGTGCGCTGCCGTCAGAACGTACCACTCGCTGATCAGGGTGCCACCGCAACTCAACTTCCTGCCCCGAGCTGAAATAAATAAAAAAATATAAATGACGCAACAAAATTAATTAAGAAGTTCTCTACTTGTGCTATTATTATTTCGTTGTCCTATAATAGGTTGTAAAGAGTGGTAGTTTAGCCCTAGAAAGTGCGAGCGGTAGGCAGGTGCACTACAAGGGTTGCCAACCCTACTATTTAATATAGTATCCTACTAAATTAGGGGATCAAATACTATATTCGTAAAAATTAAGTAGGCGAAACTACTATATTTTGCTTAAAGCATATTTTTGACAGTAAAAGCTTTCTTAAAAATTATTATAATACCACATACTATATTTTTTATAGATTTTTGCCAGCTACTATATATTTTTAGAAGTAACGCTTCGAAAATACTATATTTGATAGAAAAAAAGTTGGTAACCCTATGCACTACGTAAAATCTGAGGGCAAAGCTCAAAGAGTTAATTGTTAAGATTCAATAAAAAAGTTTAGTTTCCTACTGGAGAATTTGTCCTGGGAAAATGTTCCCATAGGGTTTCGCGACAACAAAATAAATGGGGGCTCTATCAAAGAGTATTATTATTTGGTAGTAACTATTTTCGAAACTGGGCTCCATTATGTAATTTGAGTAACTTTTTATTAAGAGATAAGTTTTGTTCCAATTACGCTTTTACTTAAATTTGTAGAGCATTACAGAAAGATATAGAGCATTACAGAAAGTAGGAGAACGGCGATTTCAAAGATTTTTATATAAACAAAAACACTTACGCGACTCATAAGCCAGCAGCACCATCCAAGGCATTTCGTACAATTGCGTCCTGGTGCCTCCGAACAATTTGTCGCTGTCGAACACACCACAAGTTTTGATGGGCAGGAGACGTAAATTCGGATGGTTTTGTACATTTGGCACATCTCCTACTCGTGATTCGGTGCCTGTGCCTGTATTAGGTTTGCGTGTAAGCGGGTTAGCTGTACTGTCAACCATGCTAAAATTCGGTTCTTTAGTGATCTCAGGATCTGGAGTGATAACGCTTGGGTTGCCGGATGAGGCAACACAGCAGACCTGCAAACAAAGGTAATGAAGTGTATTACTAGAAATGTTTAATAACTTACAATGTTAAGATATAAATAAAGAAAAGAAATGGTATATTTATGGTAAAGATAGAAAATGACGCTTAACTTTATTATGAAATGAGTCTAGAGTGCGGGCCCTTCGAATTGTTCCCAATAACTTTCGTTACTTGTCGTCAAAGTATCTATAAAAGCTATTAAGCAAATTTGTTCTAATATGTTATTACTAGCTGCGCCACACGTTTTTATCCGCAGAGTTCCCGATCCCTTGGGAATTCCAGGATAAAAAGATAACAGAAAAATAGAAACAGAACTTTGCTTAACAGAAAAATCAGGATGGCCTGACCAAGTAGATTTCAAATATTCGACCCATTTACAGCAGATATGCTCTGATTTGTTATTAATTAAATACTCTTATCCCATTATTTATAAACTAGGAGTAAGTTAAGACGAGTTACACCGTGTTTTGTTCATATCACTCAAATGCCATTTGTCATTCAATAAACAGAGACAAAACATGGAGTAACTAATTCAAGCTTAGTCTTCGTTTATTAATAAGGGGGTTAAAGCTTAAACTTCATAATTTGCCATGTGAACGACCTCTCGGTTTATAGTGTGTATAGAACTGCATATTATTAATTCATTTATACTGTCGCCATCAGTTGATGTCACCTTTTAATTAAGAGAAATAAAGATGACGTAAATAAAGGATGCTTGAACATAAATATTTTTGTTATGCATACCGATTTAATGGTCAAGTGGTGACAAAATTAAAATCGGTATCAATAATAAGTTTTTTTTTAGTATTAAAAAAAACTTATTATTGGTACAGATTTTAATGTAGTGGGATAAGGGATAAGATTTTACGAACATAAGTTTCTTGCAAATTTCACGCGTATGAGACTGAATTTCAAAAATATTCCATCTTAACATTAAAAAAAATATGAAATTTTAATGAATTAGGATGCTTTTGTTGTGTTTGTACTCAAAACACAACAAACATTGCATCCATATTCCTACAGGATTTCGATGAAATATTGGTACACTGTAAATAAGCCGTTTATTATTAATGGAATAATATAAAAAGGAGATGCGATGAAACGTGCTATCCTGGAAAATATATTAGAGGCTTTATCACAAGATTATCATTAATAAACTACTGGACGTATCCACAGTGACAAAACAAGCGTATGTGTTTGTAGGAGTCCAAGAGTATGTTTTCACGTTTCAGTTTTCTGGGGTATTTATTCCCGTTCCGTCTAGAGGCCTTGGAAATTTTAAAATCCACGCAAGCTAATTTCTGAACAGGATCTGCTTCTAAAATAATTATAAAATGAACATATTGGTATAAAAGAAAATGCTTTTTTGTAGTTCACATTATCTGAGAAATAGAAACGAAATATGGTGCAATCGAAACTAATTAAATGACTTTATTTTGATAGATGACAAATATATAATGGATCAGAACTAGCCATATTAGCTCGTTTTCAAGTTAGTACAACAATTTTTAAATTTTGGTTATACATATTAATGTGTTCGTTAGAGTGACTGGTTGTGTGTGATTAAAATAAATTAATATCTAAAATTTGTTTACTTCTTATATTATATATACATACCACGGGCTCATCAGATTCAAATCCACAAGAGAGCTCTTCTAATTTTATCCTTAAGTGACTCGGCATCGGGCGGCCTGCCCTCATGATCTCATCTAGCAGGGGCTTGCAGTCCGAGAGACGGGTGCAGGTCCCAGGATGGTCACCGCCAATGCAGCTGTCGCCAGCGTATACTAAAAACAAAATAACAACAGTTCTATTTAAAAGAATCTCCAGAAACTTTTGCAGTAGTCAGTCATTGGAGGGCGACCAAAACTTTACAATGTCGAGCTCGTCCGTGCTTCAGAAGCCGTTGGCAGGCAGCATTTGTAGTCGTTAGCACCAACTATTGAGTGGTGGGTCATATCCCAATCTTCCTATTCCATTCACAGGCCTTTCTGTGCCCCAGCAGTGGAGACATTAATAGGCTGATGCTGATGTTGACAAAACCTTGAACTTTTAGCGCCCGTTGGGAAAGAAACCTCCGCCTTATAGAAGACCACAGTGAAATAACGCACTGCTTTTGGTGGTAGCGTTGTGTCTGTGTGGAGCTAGTCTGATAATGGAGCTAGAAGGTGGCCATAGGAACTCTGTGGTGAAGCGGTACAACCTTATCAAGTTTAGACTCGTATGAATCATATTGATAAGTACTTCGTCTCTAAATGGTATCCAGCGTCTGATGATGAGCTAGTCAAAATCAAAATACCTTGATTCAAATTGGATGCGTTTATCAAATTTATTTAACTCTTTTGAATCTTTAAAGAAAAAAGATCTTGTAGGACTGAGTTAGGGGAGCTGAGATACAATATGTGGGATTCCTCACATATAGTATGATAACCTTTGATGATAACCCGTTCGTTTTTTATGTAGTCAATATTTTACTATTTACCAACTTTATTTTAATATTTGTGTATTCTGTGTATTCTATATATATATATATATATTACCTACCTGGTTTATTTAGCATATGTCCTTATTGCACCCCTGTAATTTTATTTCTCACGCTTTTACTGGTCGACTGGTAGAGAATGCCTTATGGAATTACATATTATGTCCGCCATTTGCTGTTTGTTTTGCAATAAAGTATAAATAAATAAATAAAATAAATAAATTTAGTTAGACATTTAGAAGTAATAATGTGGTGTGTCTGTCTGCCGCTCCAAACCTAGTTTTAAGCTAGATATAAGTTAGTTTTAAGATTTATATAGTTAAAACTATTTTTGGCTTTTCACTTTTCAAAATTCTATGTTTATGGTACTTTCTCGGTATCTATTTACACGGCGCTTCACGTCGTTTCTTTTTTTTGTTTATTTATTATATCTCTCATAGATTTTTATTCATTTCCATAAATAATATTTACCATAGATGAATGATTGGTCTCGCTTCACGCGAGAAAGTTGGTAAATAGTAAAATATTGACTACATAAAAAACGAACTGGTTATCATCAAAGGTTATCATACTGTATGTGAGGAATCCCACATATTGTATCTCAGCTCCCCTAACTCAGTCCTACAAGATCTTTTTTCTTTAAAGATTCAAAAGAGTTAAATAAATTTGATAAACGCATCCAATTTGAATCAAGGTATTTTGATTTTGACTAGCTCATCATCAGACGCTGGATACCATTTAGAGACGAAGTACTTATCAAGATGATTCATACGAGTCTAAACTTGATAAGGTTGTATCGCTTCACCACAGAGTTCCTACACGGCGCTTCACGTCGTTTCTTTTTTTGTTTATTTATTATATCTCTCATAGATTTTTATTCATTTCCATAAATAATATTTACCATAGATGAATGATTAGTCTCGCGTGAAGCGAGACCAATCATTCATCTATGATATTTACTTATAATTTCTTATTGTTCAAATTATTGATTTTTCATATTGACGCTTCACGTCACTTCCGGATCATAACTTTTTCTCCACCTGTAATTAGTTTCAATCACTTTTAATTTTTCATCTCTTTTTAATATACGTTTGCCGAGAGAGACCATAAACGTCTTGTTCGAAATTCAAAATGTTTCTTTTGTTTTGGATCGTTCTTTTAATTTATCTATATTGTTTCGGATTTCAGGTCATTGTCAGGCATAGCGGTATAAAACCTCTAGCGCCTGGCATCTGGATCCATTCGTCGAGTTTCACTCGCAAACTACACACTGTAGTTCTGGTCCCGGACCTTTGTCAGGGTACAATATGTGGATAAAAAAACTAGTGACGACAGTAATGACACATTTATACATAAACGACCATCGTATATAAAGAAACCGATGTCGCATAATTTTATTGTTTTCCTCGTCCAACCAGTTGCATAAACCTCTTTAGTAAACTTGAAGCCACAGACTTGATCAAATTAACATTATTATGGGGTATTTACTCGTTCAACTAGTTTTGCAGGTACTAATAGCATTCGTACATAAAGAAATTATGCACACGCATTGAAGATCTTATACAGCGTAAATTAGCTTACACAACCCAACCCATTATAGGAGGTATTGTCATGAGCTTGGCAGAGAATGGCTGTCCTGACAATTGCTCTTTTGTTTACATTTATTACACAGTATCAATCATCATGTACTTATGGTCCATCTTATCATCGAATGCTTAAAAAAATAGTTGTCTGTAAAATCAATTTACGGACAATAATTTTACGTCAAAACGTGTCATTCGCTGTTTTCCTCGGGCCGTTTTATGTGGCTTTTTGTTCAGGTTCGTTTGAACCCAAGCACGCCTCTGTAGCTCTATGGAGGCCCAAGGTAGGCCTACCCCCTACGCGAGGATGAGGTACTCTTCGAGGAGGAGGGAATCAAGGTGGTCAGGGGGCTGGGAGTTGCGGGTCGGAGGAAACCCTCGACCTCACCTCACACACACCGCGGAACGTTGAACTAGTGCCAACGTGCTATGACGTCACACTATTTCGTGAGTGCAGCCGGTGTTTCATCGATTTATAAGACGTTATCACGTCATAATAGCCCCCCCCCCCCAATCCTGAGAGACCTTCAGTCGCTCAGCCTCAAACCGATACGGGTGCACATCAGAGTGCATCCGTCCTCTAAGCGCACTATGCAGTAATATTTACTAAGGCAACGCTGCATCATCCCCTTCTCAGGGGTTGATCGCATCAGATGAAGCCTGTAAGGCCCCTATGGCCATAGGCATCCCCCACGGGTATGTTTAAGTCAGTAAGAGTCTGTAGGGTATCCATGAGGATTTCACACCCGCTCCCCCGCCTGGGAAGAATTAAAAAAGAAAGTCAAAATAGTAAGAATACTGCATTATTTCCAATAATAAGAGTTTTCTTCTAATTTATTATTTTTGATTAAATTGGGTGATCTATAAATCAAGGGATATCTTATTACAAAAAAATACTTTCGGTAAAGGTGTCAGTATCTCTCATGGATCTCTCAATGTGCTTCTATTTCCAATCGGTCAAGTATTATTGTTGAACTGGTCGTGAAAGAAAAAGCAATAATGATGCAGGCAATGCTAAGCTGGCACTAAGTATTTGTTTTTCGTTGATTACTTATGAGCGAACCAGATTCAACCTTAGCCTAATATAGCATCGTGTTGACATAGTGTTAACTGGAATGAAGAGTAGGATGGACGACAATATTACGAAAGACAACTTTAAGAGTGAGGGCGTTGAACTCTACCCTGTTAGTCACTGCAGGAACATAAAACTACAGGAAACTTAAATTATTTAACCACCGTTTCCTTAAATATAAGACTACAGGCGGGCGTCGCGCGCGGCTGGTGCTCTAATTTTATCGAACAAAAACTAAATTAAACATACACTGATTTTATTTATTATTATTTAAGTGCGATTCTTTCTTTACTTATGTGTCTGTGTAGAATGAATTGGTATCCGTTAAAAACTATCCCCTTTATCAAATCCTTAAATATTTATTTTCGATACAAAAAGTCCCTGAAGTCGTGCACTAAGATCCTTTTATCTATTGGTAAACCAAAATATATCAAAATCGCTTAAGCAGCTTGAAAGTGAAAGCGTCACCGGTAACGTAACACACAGACAGAGAAAAGGTTACTGTTGAATTTATAATTTAAGTGATTGTGGAAATAGCTGATAAGGTTGCTGTCTACTCTTATTATTTATGGGTAAAAATTATAAAGTATATTAAAATGATAATTTTTCGGTAATTACCAGAGAATTCAGGGCAAACTCGAAAATTATTATCGATACACCATATTACTATCGATCCAACGGTAAGATTAAGAAATTCATTACATACATACATAAAGAAAACTTAACATACCTAAAAAGAAGATAAACAAATATAAACATATTCCCAAACCTGTACGTTTTGGGTATATTCGATTATTAAAGTGTCTTAGGCAATAAAATATTACAATGACTCATAATAACCACATTATGCTGGTGACGCAAAACTCATTATCTCCTTCTTAGAATGAAAACACGATGTTATTATGATTACAAGATCTGTTTAATATTTTAATTAATTGCTTTTAAGTATTGCAGTTTTCAGGACTTTTTAATAATAATTGTTTTATTTGTTTAATAAATGTTGTTAAACTTGTTCTAAGGAGCCAGCCGATTTATTCTAGTTTTTGGTATAGTTTTCTTCGAATTCCGACTCCGTGGGCTTCGGACTATAACAAAAATGAAACCTAAGTAAAATTATAATTTACGAACTATAGATTATTTATTTATTTATTTATTTAAACTTTATTGACCAAAATACAATATAATGGTACAAAAGGCGGACTTAATGCTAATAGCATTCTCTCCCAGTCAACCTTTGGGAAAAAAGAAAAACGCGAACGGCGGTATAAAGCTAAATATACACATAAATATTGATATAATAAATAATATTAAAAATATATACGAATTAACATAGATACATATATAAATACATACTACGAAAGGAATACACATACATACATACCTCTATTATATTTAAATATATATATACACATAACTATACACATGATGATGATTAATAAAGTGACTCTTTATCTTAAATTTTGAAGCAGATGAGTGCGAACATTCCTTTTAAATATAAGTTTATTTGGAGATCTTCTGATGGAGTCGGGTAGGTCATTCCACAGCCGTATGGCTTGAAGAGTAAAGGAGTTGGACATATAGCCTGAATGAGAAAGAGGGATAAAGAGAGCTAATGAATCGCAAGAGCGGAGAGGACGTTCGTGACTATCACAGAGATATTGGAATTTGCATTTCAAATACTCTGGAGAATGCGGATTGGAAATTATGGAAAAAAGAGTGCAGAGTAATCTTAACTGCCTGCGCTGGCGAATAGGAAGCCATTTTAGTTGAGATCGATATGAGGAAATATGGTCGAATTTGCGGAGGCAGAAGATGAAACGGATAGCATTATTGATTAGGCGGTCCAATTTGTTGAGAAGATCAAAGATTATCAAGTGTATTATTAAAAACTATATTACTCTTACCTACTTTTACCATTTTTTTTTTTATTATTTCTTTAGCGCGAACTTTCTTCTCAGATAGTCGTGTTTATAGAAATAGGTAAGTAATTTGCATTCCTAGGTATAGTTTTTAGATCACAAGTTCAAAGTTCTTTATTGTAAGAGTTCTTTATTCTTTAAGAGCTTTATCTATTTAATTTATTTAGCTATATTAATTTTAGTTATCCTCTTTTAATATTTTTTTACCAGCTATTCGCCATAACCTAACCTAACAGACATTCATTTCTTCGTTGAACATTATTCAAATAAATATATTTAAATTCATGTTATATGTTAGTTAGGTACAACAAATGTGAAAGTATGAATGATGAACGGCAAATGACAATATTTATTAATAGTTCGGCGGATTCTCGAAACTATGTAGGTAAAAAAAATGATTTATTACAGAATTGGTTTTTATTTGAAATAAATTTTATCCCATCAATACGAACAGAGTTATACAATAAGAAGTTTATCATTTAGCAGTAAATTACTGTTAATTCACACATGTTTAGTTACTAATACTTATACTGCTTGAAACTCAATATAAACAGAATACATGATCCATGAATCATCTACGTCTTTTTAATTTAATGTAGTAGATTTTCTAGTTTTGCTGGTCTGATCTGACCACAATGTCCTACTCAACTCGGTGGATATAACCTTCTCAAAAATCTACTCACCAACACCATCAAAAGGTTCTAGTATTCTAATATAGTCTTCTGCATGGTGAGGCTGAGGGGATACTTCCCCAGGTAGACTTCTCCACCCTTTTGCTCTTCTTTACCCTCTTATCTCAACATTAAAGTTGTCTGACCAAAACCAGAAATATAATTTGCATTGCATGCTGATTACCAAAAAGTCATTCGAATAAAGGTTTATATACGTATATAAGCTTAAATATAACTAATAAATTAAGTTTAAAAATAAAACATTCTTTAGGAAAACGCCCAAAAGTTCATCGCCCTGATTGGTCACTCCGCAGAAATAAATCAAGCTTTATACCTGAACGCTCTCTGCGACGTTCCTTTTGTTAAAACTTTTACCTGATTTTTATTTCCAAGTCACAACTATGTTATAAATTTCCATAAAACTATAAAGAAGTATTTTTAAAGACGGCTTCTAATTTTCCCTATAAAATCGAGTAGTCGTAACTGCCCGAGCTGTCCGTTCATATGCGTAGGTATAGTGTTCAGAGACGCCCTCTAGTTGAGCCGACCCCCTCAGGTTCGAGTGGTCTAGAGGCTCCAGACGGAGAGGAGACTGTATGTTTATGTTATTAGGTACATAAACACATCACCATTGTCATAGAGTATGATTTTCTTTAAATGAATACGCATCATAAAATATTGAATTGAATATTTTCACCAGAACCGTAGTTAGTAAGTAGGTTAAGTTTTAAAACCAAGGAAAAAGTTTACCTACTAACTACGGTTCTGGTGAAAATATTTAATTCAATATTTTATGATGCGTATTTATTTAAAGATAATCATACTCTATGACAATGGTGATGTGTTTATGTACCTAATAACATAAACATACAGTCCAATAATAATAATAATATAATTATCGTTTATAACGACCGGTCGGGTATTACGACCAATATGCAAGGTCCGAAACCCATATAAACCATTAATTAAATAACCCGCCTATAAATCGGATATAACTTAACATAATGCTTAAAACGACCTAAAGCCGATAAATGTCGATAATTTCATATCGATATTCATCGGCTATAACGACCAAATGTTTTACTTGTTCCAGCAAAACAAAACAAACTATAGGTGCCCGTGTAGGTACTTCAATTTTTGTCATAATAAACTTTTTTACTTTTTTTCGAAATTTATTTGAAAACAAGTTCACACTCTACTGTCAAATTTCTTTGGAGTTTGACAGCTAGTCGCGATAAAAACCGTGATATAATGTATATTTTGGTGGTCATGCTACAGGGACTGGGAGACCAATAATTAATCTTAGTCTAATGTTTATTAATTTTAACTTTCGATTTTAATAAAATCAAGATTTTGGTGTCGGTGTCATTTCAAATTCATTATTTAAACTTACCTAATAAATTTTGCTTTCGAACAGTTTTTTTATTATTTTCATTTAATTCTAGCTATAAATCAGTTGTCACAAGGAGAAAGTAATGTTTACCAGTTTCATCGAATACAATGGCGAAAATTGAAATAGGGATAAACAAACGAAAGGTTAAATCGAAATATTTTTTTACTGGAAGGAATTCCACTCGCTCCAAGTTTCAGATAAGATTCACTCGCATCTTTCGTTATCCGGGTGGGTGCACTAACCAATGCAATGGTTACAACTAATGGACGCACTTACAACTAGTAAGTGCGTCCGCTTGAAAAAGAAATATATACTTACCGAATAATCTGAAACCTGGACCGAGTGGATAATTTTTTAGTCAAATTTTCTTTAGACTTATACATAAGTTAATAAAAATATATATATAAAAAAATAAAAATATACTAAACAAACGGTAGTATTTTTT